TAATCTATAAGTTGCCCGTGGCTTACTGGTACCTTACATCTTCCTTGTCCTGGCGGCGGCTGCCCGTGTCCCCCTCAGCCTTCCTGTGCTCTCAATTCTCCTCTGTTAGTCCTGCCTATACTTCCTGCCTGGCTACTGGCCAATCAGTGTTTTATTTGTCAATCAATCATCCACAGCACCACACCCAGTGTTTCCGACCATTTCCTGTTACCTATGAGTCAATATGTAAGAACTCTCAGCTCCTTCACTAGCATCATGTCTGCTACATGCCACCATGTTCGACCATGATGATAATAGACTGAACCTCTGAACCATAAACCAGTCACCACAATTAAATATTTTCCTTTATAAGAGTTGCCATGGTCATGATGTCTCTTCACAGCAATAGAAACCCTGACAAGATTGACTCTAGTCTCACCACTACTCTCAGGCCAACATACTTGCACACAAAGGCACACATGAATACACACACTCATAAAAATCATGATTATTAATGAATGCCATAAATGTAATTATTATCATGAGTATAATTAATATCTTGAATGTAATTCATGCCACTGAATTGTGAACTTAAAAATGGTTACAATTGCAAATATTATATTCATTTAAAAAAATAAGGTGGAAAAATGTAATCACCATACATTATATGTGTGTAAGAAACTGAAGACAGCAATGTTCTAAGATAGAAAGTGGTGATGGTGTCATGGGCCTATGAGGATGCTGGACGAAAGTCTATCAAATTGTGCAAACTGGCAAATTGTATACTATGTGAATTATTTGTCAATAAAAATTTTATAAAATGTAAAAAAAAATCATGATTATATTTCCTAATAGGCTTGTATAAGAATTTCTCTAAGATTATGAAGTTAAACACAACTTGCAAACCGGCCATGATGGCACATTCCTTAACCCCAGTGCTTGGGAGATGGGCAGATCTCTGGGAATTTTAGACCTACCTGATCTACATGGCAAGTTCCAGGATAGCCAGGTCGATGTAGAGAGACCCCATCTCAGAAAAAAACAAACAAAAGAAAAGGAGAAAGAGAGAAGATGAATACACATTGACTGTCCTGCTGCACATCTCCAGGGACTGATCTGACTGAGGCAGTGAAGAAATGAAGAAAGAAGAGAGACTCAGAAAAGTTGAGATGGGGTGGGGTGGGCTCCGTGATGGAAAAGCCACCACCCCCTCCCCCCCCCCGCCCCCGCCCCAGAAGCACAGTGTGTTTGTTACATACAGCTGAAGAGGGAGGTGGGGTATTGTACTTAGCTGACTAAGGAGGAGGGGTTATTACATTCAGATAAACAAGGAGACGGGGTTAGCTAATCTCAGAAGGAAGTGTCTCTGGAGGGAGGAGTCTGCAGGACATACACAGCAGGAGAAGAGAGCTACAGTGGACATTTTCGGCACAAACTGTCAACATTCACATTCAGACCCAAGGAAGGGTTTGTCGTCTCTCTGTGCCTCCACCGGGAAAGGCCTTGCCGTTCCCGTGGGGCATTGGGGTCCTTACCATGGCTGTGTCCATGGCGAACAACACACACTCACTCTGGGCTTCACTCACTCTCTCCACTGAAGGCATGTATGAAACTTGTGGAAGAGTTAATAAAAAATATTATATATTTTAAAAACTTGGGGCTAGGGATATAGCTCAATTGCAAACGTTTTTTATCTGACATGCACTGAATAAAGCTGGATCTGGTTGCCCGTGCCTGCAATTCAGCACTCCAGAGGTGGCAGCAGAGGACCAGAAGCTCAGAATCATCCTCAGCCCAGGTGACATAAGATCATATCAACAAATAAAAATTAAAAAAAAATCTTGAGTACATCTGTACTGCACACAAACTAGGAACCAATACAAGATGCTCTGAGGGGCAGAGACAGTTGTGTTGTGTTGTGTTGTGTTGTGTTGTGTTGTGTTGTGTTGTGTGACAGGATCTCACTATACAGCCCTGGCTGTCCTGAAACCCACTATGTAGACCAGGCTGGCCTCGAACTCACAGAGAACTGCCTGTGTCTGCCTCTCAAGTGCTGGGATAAAAGGCGTGCGCCACCGCTCCTGGTTTCAGAGACAATTTTATTGTTTCTTTTATATCCTTCCTGTGACACTGCTGGCTCCACAGTGCTGGAGGGAGAACATGCAAGGCCGTAGACTGAAAAGCAGCCCGAAGGAACAGTAGATTCGTCCGTTGGTACACAAATATTCGTTTGTGGACTTAGCAGATAGAACAGCAAGTATTTGTGTAGGACTTTATAGGCATCCAGCCTGGTCTCACATGGATTAAGGCTACCGGGTTATCTGGGGTCTTAATGAATGCTCTACCTGCAAGGTGTACCAAGACAATCAAGTACACCATCCCTGAGGAAGGAGTAGGCTATCTATAGACAGGGAGCACTTCTCTGTCTTCATGGGAGCCACCTGGAGAAGATACTCCTGGAGAAAGTGCTCCTGGAGATGGAACACCTAGAGACAGTAGCCTGCACCTTCATAGAGCCCGAGTTTCTGCATTTCTCAGGCTCTGACTGAAGTCAGTACAACTCACCTGGGGACCCCACCTTGAGCCCCGGGGCCCTAGCAACCATGATACCTTATCACACAGGAGAATCCACCTTGATACAGAAGTGCTGTGTTTAATTCTTGTAACCCATAACCAATTCTTTTATTTGATCTGTTTCTTGGAGAGTCACATTTCTTGAAGCTCCAACTTCAGGGTATCCCACACCCTCTTCTAGCTCATAGTACACCCAAGTACATGCAGCATACAGACACACACATAAACACATAGATAGAAATTTTAATAAAAATTTGAATTCAATTGTTAAAGAGATCCATCAAACTTTACATTATACCATTGCATCATGTGGTCGTTTGAATGAAAATGGCCCCATAGGCTCAGGGGAGGTGGCACTGTTGGGAGGTGTGGCCTTGTTGGAGGAAGTGTGTCACTGGGGGAGGGCTTTGAAGTCTCAGAAGCTCAAACCAGGCCTAGTGGCTCACTGTTGCTGTTGCCTGCCGATCCAGATGCAGGACTCCCAGCTGCTTCTTCAGCATGTCTCCCGGCATGCCACCATGCTTCCGCCATGATGATGATAATGGACTAAACCTCTGAAACTATACGTCAGCCCCAGTTAAATGTTTTCTCTTGTAAGAGTTGCTGTGGTCATGGTGTCTCTTCACAGCAATAAAACCCTAACAATACACAACACTTTCTGAGAAATGAAAGAGATTAAATTTAATAAGACTGAATCTTGTGTTTGCTTGTTTGAGACAGAGTCTTACGAGGTAGCCCTTGCTGGCCTGGAACTCTCTGTGTAGACCAGGCTGGCCTCAGACTTGGAGAGATTTGGCTGGCTTTGCCCCTGGAATGCTGGGATTAAAGGCATGTGCCACCAAACCTAACTAAGATTGATTTTTTTTTATTTTTTAGATTTATTTATTTTACATGCATGACTGTTTTGCCTGCACATATGTATTATGCCATGTGCATGCTTGGTGCCAGAGGAGGTTAGAAGTGGTCATTGGAGCCCCTGGAAGTGGGCTTGTATATGTAAGAAGACACTGTGTGGGTGCTGAGAACCAGTTCCTGCCCTCTAAGAACTAACTGCTCTTACCTCCAGGCCATCAGGCCAGCCACAAGACTGAATATTTATTTATTTATTTATTTATTTATTTATTTATTTATTTATTTATTTATTTATTTATTTATTTATTTATTTTTTAAATTACACTCATCACTCATGATATTCATTACTTACACTCATGACATCTGAATTTTTAAAGAGGGGGAGGGTTGTTGTTGTTTTGGCTTTGTTTGTTTGTTTGCTTAAGATAAGGTCTCACTATGTAGCCTTGGCTGACCTTAATTTCACAGATATACCTGCCTCTGTCTCTGAGTGCTGGGATTAAAGTCGTGTACCACCATGCCTGGCTTCCAAGATTGAGTTATTTAACGTGCATAAACTAACTGCTTTTTAAAGCAGACAAGGAATGACAACATGGCACCATTCTGGTCAGCAAATGTCCATAAAAATGGCATCAGTATAAAGATGTAAGTAAGCCTCAGAGATAGGAGATGAGTAATTAGAACATGATGTGATGATATGATTTTAGCAAGAACAAGAACCCTAGAAATGGATAAAATAAGCAACATATTAATTGAACTGAGTATTAAAGTGTGTAACCATAATTTTATAAACTCTCCAGGTCTATAACCAGTTGCTTTTGAAAATACTACATTTTAGTCTAATTGGCTTTTTCAGTTAAGTGCCAAGTCAACAAGCCAACTGAACAAACACATCTTCCAATTATGAGGAGAGCCACAGTGTTTATAAACTGTATGAGGTTACGGAGTGGTAGGGTTGTTATTGCCTGGCACATAATAAGCAATTAGTACATTTGCAAACCTTTTATACGCCTTCCCTATTTTGCTTTATTTTCCTCTAATTTATCCACATTAACGTGATTTAGAACTCATACCTATATGCTGACATCTTTACATTTTAAAGCTATTCTAAAAGATACATTTTAGATTTCATAATTTATTTTGTTCATTTTACTCTCTTTCTGTCTTCCCCTCCCAGCTCCTATGCACTAAGATGCGAGCTTCATGAGTGCAAGGACAAATTTTTGCTTGTTCTCTTCAGTGTCCTCAGACCCTACGACAGTGACTAGAAGATAAGTGGGACATCCCAATAAATATTTAAGGCACACATGGACAGTTGAGTATCGAATGAATGTGTGCATCCTTCTTGGCTGAAGGCTGAGGATTTGTGGCGAGCAGGACAGCCTGGTACTGAAGAAATACCTGGGACTAAGGAATGGGTCCTCAAGTCTCAGGATGGATGACAGCCATAATGGTCCAGAGCGCTTTTGTGGGTCGGCCCCCAAGTTGCTTAGCAACAAGCCTCCCCTCCCTTCACCGCCACTAGAGGGCGATAGGGCGGCGGGGAGGAGGAGGGGGTAGCGTGAACGCGCGCGCGTTCACTGCGGGGCGCGGAAAGGCGAGGAGGCACGTCACTTCCTGTTTCTTTAGGGGAACGTGGCTTTTCCCCGCAGTACCTCGCCTTCCATCTGCGTTCGTGCTGCGGCGGCCGGAGCTGGAGTCGGAGCCCGAGCGCAGCCTCGCCATGGATTCGGCCCTCAGCGACCCGCACAACGGCAGCGCCGAGGCCAGCAGCCCTACCAACGTCTCGACGCGGCCGCCCTCCACGCCCGAGGGCATCGCGCTGGCCTACGGCAGCCTCCTGCTCATGGCGCTGCTGCCCATCTTCTTCGGCGCCCTGCGCTCAGTGCGCTGCGCCCGCGGCAAGGTAGGGTCAGGGCGAGAGTGGGCGCCTTCCACCCCCATCCCGGCCACAGCCCCCACGAACCTGTCCCTGCAGACCCGATAGCTGGCCCCTTTCTCCCGCGTCACGCACCCACCCACCCGGGCGGGCATCGATCACCATTCCCTCCGCCTGAGTCCACATCTGTGGCTGGCCTTTGGTGTCCCCGAATCTGGCCACTCCCCAAAGCGGGGATTAGCATTGTCCTCAGACAGCGGCTTCGCCGACAGACCCCGCCATATCCCCTCCCCCAGACCCTGTGCTTCATGCTACAGCTGCGAACGCTGTCGGCCCGACCTCAGACACAAAGGCAGGCATTGACTTCGCTGAGCCTGCCGGGCCCAGCCAGACCAGCCCCACCTGATGCTATGGCTAACCAGCAGCCAGGTGTTTGCTCCTCACCTCGATCGATCACCCCATCCGTGGCTTGGGTCAGCCCTAGTGTGTTCCTTACAGGTATGGCTCTGAAAGGCACCATCTTTTGTCATCCTTCTGCTAGGAGCCATGCCTGGCCACACCCACAGTTGATTGTAGCATCCATATCCATCCCTAGACCCTGATTTCTGTCGCTCGGGAATCACTGCGGCGTGTGTGCCCGACTGGAACCCCTTGATCAGACCCTTCTCCCTGCCTTAAAAACAAAACCCAGGGGCGGGGAGGTGGCGCAGCGGTTAAAAGCGCTTGCCGCCAAGCCTGATGACTTGAGGTCAATCCCAGACACGAAAATGGTGGAGGGAGAAAACCGTCTCCTGCATGTTATTTTCTGACCTCGTCACACTCGCACTAAGTAAATGTTAAAAAAAAAATAAATAAATAAAATAGAAGCCTGGCGTGATGGCACACATTTGTAAGCCTAGCACTCAGGGAGCTGAGGCAGGAGAATCAAAAATTCTAGGATAGCTTGGCTATAGAGGGAGACCCAGTTGCCAGGGGAAAAAAGGGGTGTGGGGTGGGGGTGGGGATTAGAGCGCCAGCCCAGCTGCTCGTCTTTTGTTCACTGTTTGGAACCAGTGCCGGCCATCCAGCTCTTTGGAATGTGGCACCTTGGTTCTCCCCAGGTTTAGATTTCTTCTTTGATTTCTTCTCCCTACTTAGCACCCAGCCTTGGATCTATCCAAACTAAAGCCCAGATGCTGATTGCAGGGTAGCCTTTCTCCCCAGGTCCCATTAAAACCAAATCCCTTTGCAAATTGAGTCTGCCTTCTGAATAATAGCCACTGTTGAACTGTTTGAGACTGGGGCAGACCCTGCCTTTGGCCTTCCATGACGTTTGTCTCATTTGATGTCCAGGGGGACTCCAGAACCTTCCACCTCCCTCCCTCCCAAATCTCCCTGCCCTCTATTAAGCCTCTACAGCCCATTGAAACCAACAGTTTCTCCCTTCCTGGCATCCCGTCTTCAACAGCCTCAGAGTGTACAGTTCCTCACTGTTCCTCCCCCCTCCCCCCCATGGAACCTGAAGGTGGCCTGGAGAGGAAGCTGCCCTACTCAGAGAGGGCAGGCCCACAGGGCAGCTGGCACTTTTGAAACTGCTTCAGTTCAGATTCTGAAAACACCGCCTTTCTGCCCAAGTTCAGGAAACCTACTGCTGGCTCTTTCTGGGCAGATGCAGAGAGAGCACTCAGACTGACCCATTTTCTTTGTTCCTCTGCCTCTTCTAAGCAGATTTCAGGTGTCCTTAGCCTCTCCCAGTCTGGTCAGGCAGATACCTGGTGCCAAGGCAAGTTCTGGAACACAGAATAGGACAAAAGATGGAGGACAACATGGCGTGGTGGTGTGTGTGTGTTGGGGTGGGGGGGGGGATTGGGCAGCATGGCGCGAGGCTGAGCAGCCGCTAGACTGAGTGGTTTTCCTTGTCGCCTTCTGCACATGAACCACTCTTTGCAGAAAATACCTTCCAGGCGCCAGTGTTTCTCAAATTTAAGCTGTTACCGGGGAATGCCGCATAGATGGGAGATGGGTAGGTCAGAGCTTTGTTTCCAGGGAGTCTAGGAAGATAGGCGAGGCATAACGAGGTCTGGGATTGAAATGTAGCGAGGGCTGGGGTGGGCTAGAGAGAGGCGGAGCAGGCAGGCGTCCTGACTGGGTGAGATGTACAGTTCCAGCCAGGAGAGGGCATTCTAAGCTGGGGAAAGCAAGAACGGTAACAAAGCAGGAAGGCACTTCGGCGTAGCGAAGCAGAGGGTGTGGATAGAAGAAAGGGGGCCATACTTTCTATCTGTTCTGAGCATTGTCCACAGAGAGGCCTTCTTAGAAGATGAAAACCACTACAGGGTTCGCCTGTTCTTTAGAGGCTTCCTGGTCTCAGTAACCAGGATGCTCTGAGCTTATGGAACCTTTACCTGCCTTGACGCTCACAGTGCTGAGCAGCAGGCAAAGCCAGTTAGTTTATCAGGTCCGTTTGAAAAAAGACCTGAGGGCCAAAGAATGAAGATCTTTCTGCTCTGCCATTCAAGAATGAACCGGGTGGGTCCAGTTCTAGAAGATGGGGGTGCCATCCTTGAGACAGGTGCCCCTGAAGACACACAAGGAGTGTTTTGACCTGCGATAGGATGAGCCAAATGACTCCTTTGTCTACCTTGCTCATCTGACAGGAGGGAAGAATTGGAGTGAGGACCCAGGCAGGAGCTTGGCACTGCCAGCTGATATTTGATACCAGGGCCTGCTGAGAGGGAGAGAGCATTCGAGGACAGTTCCCCTGGGGCCACAGTGTCCACAAGAGGCAGAGCAGATCGTAAAACCCTAAGCAAAAGAAGGTGAGATGGGCAGGGATGTTTGGGAAGAGTCACAGCAGGGGTGTCAGAGACCTGTGTCCCCAGAGGGAGTGAATTCCAGCCAAGCAGGAGCTGACTGCTGGGTAGGTTCTTTGAACTTTCACCTAGAGCACAGAGGGACCTCTTAGCCAACAGCGCTGGGCATCTGTTGTCAAGTCCTGGGCTGGGTGCCAGGAGTGCTGGGCTAAGACACGGAATGGATGATCAGCCAAGGTCTCCTGGAAGAGGCAACAGGTATCTTTGCACACACGAGTGAGAATTCAGCAGGCTAAGACCGGGGAGCAGTGAGAAGTATAACAGGAGCCCAGGAGAGGGACTTGAGTGCCGGGCCAGGATGCTTGGGGAACATACACCCTTTCTGAGGAAAAGAATCCTGAAGGTAATGTAACACTTCAGATGTGTAAAATTCAAGCAGCTGTAGAGCATAAGAAAAGCTGCTTCAGAACCGCTTGGATGTGGCACTCCTAATCTAACCCAGGGCCTCACACATGCTAAGTACATTCTCTACCACCAACCTATATCCCCAGCTTGCCTTCTAGAACATTTTCTGTGTGCATACCCATATATGCTTGCTTTTGTATGTACGCACAGGTAGGTCTGTTATGGAAGCAATTGTTCAGTACATGCTGCTCGGCAGCTTGTTTTTATTTAGCAGTGTGAATTAGTCATTTTCTGCTTTCCAGCTGCCTCAGCCTTTTTGTAGTGAAATAGGTCCCTGGTACACAATGCAAAAGGCCCACAGGTACACCGTGAAAGCCTCCCACCCCAGCTGCCTCTGCCAGCAGCAGCTCCTGTTGCCTGGGTCTCGTTTACCCATCCATAGAAATGTTCCTTTGGACACCCCAGTGCGCTGGTGTGTCTGGAAGGGTCCTTTTCGGGAGAATGGGGAGGAGGGTGGGTTTTGTTTTTGTTTTTATGAGGCTGAATGCAGCCAGTTGCTCTGGCTGGCCTTGGTAGTCACTAGGTAGCTCAGCATGGCCTCTAACCGAGCACTCTTCTGCCTCAGCTCCCGAGGTGCTGGAACTACAGTTTGTTCAGGGCACCAGTTCTGAAAGGGCAGAACTTGAACTCTCAGCAAATGCAGATTCACAGTCGAAATTCCAGGTGGGCCCAGAAGAGTGTTTTGCACGTCCTCCTGGTGATTCTAGTGCACCCTCAAAATTGGAGAGCCGCTAATCTAGAGGCCTCCACAATTGGCTGTAGTCCTTAACCACTACAAACCATGATGAAATCAGTATCCTTACACATTTATTGTTTCATAATTTGTTTGTAGGGCAAGTTTCTTGAAATTGGCTTACTGAGTCAAAGACTGCCTGAATCTCCATCCTTAGGTTTTACAAAAGGGTCTGCTGTAGAGGTTGTGGCAAGTCCTCTGGCATGGGTTGGGTCTTTGCTGTTAGAGGGCCACATAGTCTACTCCGGGGGTCTTGACGAAACTCCGGGCAGGTGTAGGCTTTAGAGAGAGCGCTCTGTCAGGTAGAAGGAGAGACACAGGGGCTGGTACAGTTCGGGGAGGCCCCCTTGGCCGGGGGATGGTGGGGCAAAGATGAGGAGAAGATAAGTTCAGGACATGGCCAGGAGGCAGAACGGTGGCAAAGGGGGTGAGTACAGGAGACCCCAGGGCCTTAGTCTGGGGAGACAACAATACGTGTCCCAGGAATCCCAGGCTATCTCTGGGGTGTGGTCAGGAAGCAGTCCTTCCAGGGCTCTGGCTGTGCCAGTGGCTTGAAGCTGGGCATCTGGCTCCCTCTGCTGCTTTGGCTTCCACCCTGATATCTGAATACCCAGGATACTGAAAGCTAAATTTATTTCAGCCATTTGTGAAACTTTCTTCCGATTCTCTAATTCTCTTCATGTTTGGCTTAAAAACCCAAACCAAATTGGCAGTAAATCCTAATGAAGTTGTAGTAATTTTTATAACTACAAAGATGAACTATTCAGCCTGGCGGTGGTACCACACGCCTTTAATCTCAGCACTCAGGAGGCAAGAGGCAGGTAGATCTTGAGTTGGAGGCCAGCCTGGTCTACAGAGTGAGTTCCAGGACAGCCAGAGCTACACAGAGAAGCCCTGTCTTGTGTTGGGGGTGGGGTGGTTTGAACTGTTCCTCATCTTCAGGATTTGTGTCTTGGGAAGGCCACCAGGCTCCAGCATCATCAGTTCCAACAGGATTCTCCAGGGAGGGGAGGTGGAAGACAGCTAGTAGTAACACGGAGCCAGGCTGCCCGGGTTCGATCCCACTCACCATCTGTGTTACACCGAGCAAGATCCTCCTCTAAGGCTCGTTTCCTCATACGTCAAAAGTGCCTGCTGGGAGCAGGGGCTGTGCACACGGCTCCTGGGGCCCCGCCTGGCACATCGAGAGGGCTCCGTAAATATTCGCCTTCTGTTATTACCAGTCAGATCGCAAGGTTCCCACTCTGACTCAACACTGCAGCGGGAGATATTTATAACCGTCACCCACAGAGGAGACCAGATTCCTCTGTTGGAAGCATCTGTCCAACCTTGGTTTGTCATCGAATAACGTGAAGCCTCTTCCTGCCCTGGGATTGGGCTGAACTGAAAGGAATTTGTGGAAATGAGCCACAGCACTGGTTTGATGGGAAGCCACAAAGTCCTGAATGTGCTTTCGAGTCCCAAGCCTCCCTCCCTGTGCAGGCTGCCTGAGAACCGCTCCACTGTGTACACAGAGCAGACGCCTCCACACAGTTGCCCTTTATCGGGCCTCTGCTGCATTCCAGACCCTGGGTCTGGCTTTCAAGGCTTTAAGTTGCATCTGCTCTAGCCACCTGTGACACTTACTTCCCTTCAGAAATAGTGTCGGCTTACCCGTGATTCCCGCAATAGTGGTAGAAATAGCACCGAGACCAGTACTGACTCCAGGCTCTATGCTAAGTACTTCGTTGCAGAGACTGGAGTCCCAGTTTTGCAGTCAGGGAAATGAAGGCTCTGAGATGGGAAAATAAATCACTATCCCAAATGCAGCTGGGAGGCTGCTGGGCCTGGCCCCAGCACACGCTCTAACCATTGGGCATGCATGTCCGGTCTCAGCATGCACGTCCATGCTGCCTCACATGACTGTCGTTGTAACAGTCTGTTTAAGCTGTCAGATTGTAGCCCACTGGGGACCCACTGAGGTTGGAGCCGTCTGGTTAATGCTGTACCCACACTGCCGCTGCACAGGAAATGCATTCAACATGTGGAGCTGCACAGAGGCGGGGTGACACTGGCCAAGTGTCCCTGCTCTGCTGCCAAAAGCAGAAGCCAGGGGCTGGCCGAGGAGAGAAGGAAGGAAACTGGGCCTCCCTGTCAGAGTTGCCCACATTTCTCCCCCTTCCTGGCAAACTGGAGAGATTGGTGGAGGGGTGAGTGGCCTGCCATGCCGTCTGGGGCAGCAGCCCCTCAGCCCTGCCTTGAGGGGAGCTGTTAAGGACCTTTGCATTCACCTACAAGATCACAGTGGCCTTTTTTTAAATGCCCCTGATGTATCCTAGTCTCCAGCCTCTTAACTGCACTCCTCCCCCATTTTGAGGTAAGTGAAGCTACAGATTGTCACCCTGTTTGACAGAGGGTGAACAGACTTAACAATGACTGTCTGTAGGGAAGATCCTCAGACTTGGGGTTATTTGGCCAAAGAATATGTGCAGTAAGGTTTTGACGTATATCACAATTATTTCTACAGGAAGACCTGTTGGCCTTCACTTGTCCCGTGGCTCATCAGCTCGGTGTCTTACAGGCATGGATTCTTGCCATTCCGGTAGATGAGAAATGGAATCCTGATGTTCTTTCATTTGAGCTTGTAGAATGACAGGCTGGGAATCTTGGAAGCAGAGTGCTGGCCTAACTGTGTGGGGCTCTGGACTTAAACCCCAGTACCACACAAAGAACTTGACAAAGAATGAGACTTGGAGCTGAGAATGTGACTCAGTGGGCAGAGCACTTGTTCAGCAAGATCAAGGACGAGAGTTCAGATCCCACCACTGGGATAAATGCTGGGTGGGTGTGGCAGTTCACCTGTAATCCCGGCACTTAGAAGACAGGGACAGGAGCCCTCAAACAAGCGATTAGACAGACTATCCAAATTGAAGTACTATGGGTTCAAGTGAGAGGCCCTGTCTGTATAAAAGGGGTACACGTACACACCATAGGTGTGTGCTCTGTGTGTCATTGGGCATGTGTAAACTTCATGCATCCCATCCAAAAGGCTGCCCAGGTTTCTATACATTTAAGTGGATGGGGCACACATACTAGACGCCTCCCGTACCTGGTGATGGTTTCACAGGCTTGCTGCCTACCTCCTGTCTCCTTGCCCTTCTACGGTCTTGTACTTTAAGGCACAAGAACTTCTCAGATTCAGAATCTTCCTCTCCAGAGAGCTGCCCTCTTAGCATGCCTTTTCCTGATGATTTTGATGAGCCAAATTATTGGTGTGCCTCCACAGCCGCTTGAGGTCCTGTCTCCCAGGGATGTAGACGCCTCTTCACAAGATGGATGTCGTGATAGTGAAGTTCCGGGTGCTGTGATGAGACAGTGCTGCCCTGGAGAGATTTTTCCTTTGGCATGAGTAGGAGTCTAGTCTGGCATTGCTAGGACTTTGGGTAGCTGTGATATAAAATGGGGGAGCCAAGCCGTGCACACCTGCAATCCCAGCCTCTCAGGAGGCGGAAGTAGGTTGAGTGGCAGGGTCCGTGGGCATCCATCTCTAAAGAAAACAGGGCTGAGGAGTAGACCTATCTCTGGGAGAAGTCAGAAGGGTTTCCCAGCAGGGATGCTAGCTGGGTTCCTAAAGACAATGAGGATTTGGGGATTTGGTTTGATTTGGTTTTTGAGACCATGGTTCTGACTATGTGGACCAGACTGGCCTTGAATTCACAGAAAATCCCCTGCCTCTGCTTCCTGAGTGCTAGGATTAAAGGTGCACCACCACTTCCATGTTGAAAGTTTTTTAGTACAAATTTAAACCAGGATTGTACTAACGCTAACGAAGTTTCATTGAAGACTTCGACTCAAATTCTAAAAAACTAATTTAGTCCTTATGCTACATTATCACCCCATTTTCAGTTTCTTCCCATATTTACAATACTGAAATGCTTTTGTTTTATATTCAGTTCGTTTTTGTGTAAATATTTATCCTTTGTCAGCTCCTTACCATATTTTTGCTAATTATAACATCTGTCATTATAAACCTCTGTGGTAGAGGGAATAACATTAGCAAAAGCCTTGAGACAAGGAATGAGATGCCAAGTGGGCCAGCATGGCGGGGGCAGGAGATGACTGTTGAAGCCTGGTGTTCCGGCGGCCTGTCGCCAGGGTGGCTCAGCCTCACATGCCTTCTCTTTGTAGAGCTCGTCGGACATGCCGGAAACCATCACCAGCCGAGATGCCGCCCGCTTCCCCATCATCGCCAGCTGCACTCTCTTGGGGCTCTACCTCTTCTTCAAAGTAAGTCCTTGGCTGCCTGGATAACTTGATTTTATGAATGGCCATTTATAGAAAACAGCAGGAAGAACAGTAATTCAGCCCTAAGTCCCCAGCCAGAGCCTGTTGGTATTTATTCCCCGTTCCCACCAGTCAGCCCTTTTTCTCCGTGTAGCTTTGTGTTCCGCTGCTACCAGTTCTGCTTCCTTGGGTTGCTTGTGCTGGTCTGGAATGTAGTTTCTGTTGCAGACGTACCTCTACCATGCCAGTCACCTTTATTGATTTATTGAGGTTGATTTTCCCAATAGAAGTTGAGCGGGCTCAATGTTGAAAACTTGGAAAACAGAAAAAGTAAAAAGGGAGAAGGTGGCAGCCATCCAAAACTCAGCTTCACAGACACTCCAGTTCCCATTCGGAGCTGTGTCTTCCATGGCCACCCTGGGCATGCTCTCTCCATAGCTGCGGCCCCACGGTGTAGCCTCTCTGTAGCTTCCATTTCCCACTGAAAATGTCATGAGCATTTTCGCATGTAGCTAAATGCTCCTTAAACCTGTTGCCCGTGTACGTGTTCTTCTGTGTGTACTGCTTTCTGGGTGTGGCAGTAACATGTACCAGATGGTTAACATTACACACAAGAGTCTGTTGGGAGGAGAGCAGTAGATCTCACAATGAGCAATCGGTGTCCCCATTCATGGGGCTCCCTTCAGGCTTTTGGTAAGCATGCCTCGACATCAGAAGGAAAGCATTCAAATAAACTCTTGGTATTTTTTAACTAATGTATCACAAGTACTTACTTCCTTTCCTATTTGTTGAAACTTAGTCAAGAATAGCTTTAATTTGCAATTGCAAAGTACATTTAAATGATGAATATTTTTTCAAGGCTGGGAGTGTAGCTAGGTCATTGAATGCTTGCCTAGCATGTACAAGGCCCTGGATTCCATTATTAACGCAGTAACGAAATGTGCATGCGTGTGTACATGTACATGCATACTTCAATCTAAGGAAAGGTACAAACAAGTTAGACCTGCTCCTGTAGTTTCTTGAGAATCTGTAATGATGGACCTAGATTTGTGTTAAATGTTTGGGGGGTAGAAGAGTGTGGGAGTTGCCTGTATCAACACAGTCATGTCTTCCTGATGGTTTCACACACCCTGAGGGTGTTTTAGGTATGCCCAGTACTGGGGTATCATAGCAGTGCTGCTATGAATTTGTTCGTTCCACAGCGTAGCACAAACTACTTTGGTACACAAGTCTGTGCAGGAAAACAGGGTCTCCATTTACAGTTGGACACACAGTGCCGAATTCCGTAGCGGAAGTCGTAGTGATGGCGGAAGTGGGGTTGCTGAGAACCAGACCCAAGGCCTTAGGCGTGCAAGCACATTTTTGTACCATTGAGCTGGACCCTCACCCCAGGTAGCATCAAGAGTCAAGTAAAAGCTCCAATTTTAATTTCTTTTCCTTTTTCCTGGACCTCACATGGAAGCTGATCTGTCAGGGGTACTGGTTTGGAGCACGCTCTGCTCAGAGCCCTGTCTTCTTGATTCTCCTTTGCCCCCAGTGCCCACCTCCATGCTCCCCTCCGTTACCCTCTCCACCAGAGGACTAGCTCCAAGGTTCCTCCGGTGTGTCTGAGAGTTGAACTGTCGCAGGCAGCGATGTGCACGGGACTCCCTTGGCACCCCGCAGTCCTGTGCTGTCATCCAGTCTCCTGCCTCACTGCTGCCCTGCACGGCCTCTGATCCGGCTGCTGCTGCTGCTGTCTGAGTCTCTTATGCTGAGTGTGTGAATTCACACCCAGCCCCTTGCCTCCAAACTGTCCTCTCACATTTTTAATGTTTAGTTTAATTCTTTAATTTTTTTTTAGATTTATTTATTATGTATACAGCGTTCTGTCTGCATATACACCTGCAGGCCAGAAGAGGGCACCAGATCTCTTTATGGATGCCTGTGAGCCATCATGTGGTTGCTGGGAATTGAACTCAGGACCTCTGGAAGAACAGCCAATGCTCTTAACCTCTGAGCCATCTCTCCAGCCCTAATGTTTATAATTTCTTTAGGCCAGTTGCCCCCCAAAACAACAAAGGGTGTGAATTCTGTCTAAAGTTTTGCACTGCTCAGTCTGTTCTCTCTGGGCAGTGGACCTGGCACAGCTGTGGGACAGTGTGGCCACCAATCTCTGCAAGAGCTCTAGCCTGACGGCAGTGTGATTTGTGTAACTAGAGAAGGCCCACCTCGGTGGCACTTAGCCCTTTCCTCCTTTCTAGCCACCTATGTTCCTCATAGACAGGCTCTAGGCAGACCAGGGGACCAGGTGCCACCAAGCAGTAAGGCTGCTCCCTGTAGGGAAAAAGGGCCAACCAAAGAAACCCACCCTGGTCCCGAAACCAGAGCTCTGTCCTATGGCAGCTCCAGGTTTAGCCTGACTTCCTGGCGAATCAGATACCTTTCCCTCCAGAGCTGTAACAGCCGCACTCGCTGCTGTGAGTTCCTCCTGTGCTCTCATAGCTGTGACTTAGCAGCATCCAGGTGTGCACATGAAATCACCTAAAGTCTTTGATTGTGTATTCCACTGATCCCAGCACAGACCCTTGCCCGTGGGCCTCCCTTGCCCCCTCCCTGGAGGACCCATGAGTAGAAGTCCTTTCTTCTCGTGCACCTTTCTGAGGAACTTCCCATCTTTCTTGGCCACCAGCTGCGTTGTAAATGGGAAGTGAGTTCCCATTACCTGACACTGGTTTGCTGGCTGTTCAGTCTTTCTGAATTTAGGCCTCGTGCATCGAGTATGGAGTTGTGTCTGACAAAAGGCACCGACTCAGGCCATTGTCAGCTCCTCCTGCTGGAGCCCATGTCACACACACCCACTCACACCCAGCTCCTCTGCACATCCTGCCGGTCCAGGACAGACTGGACTCGGCTGGCTTGTGTAGGACCCTCTCTCCCTGGGCACTCTGCCGCCTCTTCTTGCTCTATACGCACAGCAGCAGTAGGATCATCTCGGGCCCTCAAATCATGCCACAGCCCTGCCTGCAGCCCTCCAGTCATGCCTGGTGAATCTCAAATCTGTCATGGCACTCCCCTGGCTCCCAGCATCCTCTGAGATTCTTTCTCTCTTAGCAGCATATGAACTCTGAAGTTGCCTTATTCCTCGTTGCATGGCTAGTATTTGGCTCCATGCCCTGCACATAGCAGGCAGTCAGGAAATGCAGCCAAATTGCCAGGCAGAGGTCAGACAGGTCCCTGAATAAAGCTGCTCAGGGCTGAGAGCTGATGAAAGAGGAGTTGGAGTAACCTAGGTAAGGGGAAAAGACATCTCAGCAACCCAAGAACACACACCCAGGCTGCCTGGGAAGGGGAGGGAGGCTGCAGAGTGTGACACGCGGTGTGTGAACGGGGCAGAGTGATCTACAGTCCATCAGGAAGGCCTACAAGGCTTTCCCACTGGGGAACAGCTGCAGCAAACAGTGAAACAGCGGCAAGGCTTGAAGTGGGGGACCGACGCGATCGGCCTGGCGTTTAAACAGATAACTGTAGAGTCGTACTCAAGCGGCGTGGTCCCTGTGCCCCCAAAAAGCACGTGCTGCCTCCCAGTTAAGAGTCAGCACAGTGACTGGTGGAGCAGAGGCTGCGGCAGGTTACAGATTGAGCACAGCCTTCCCAAGTTCTGGAAAGACGATGGACGATTGGCTTTGTAGCATTGCGACAGAATCTTTCAGCTGACGGGGATAAGATGGGGAAGTAGCCGGCAGGGCCTGGTGTCCCGACTCTGAGCTGCCGTCACAGGCATGAAGAGGCAAGGGTTGAGTCGAAGAGTGGGTCAGGGTACCCAGAGATCTTGTAACTAGCATGCTTTGGGGCTTGGGGGCCACTCTGAAGGGGCTCCTGGATTTTTGAGCAGGGAGAAAGAAACAAATTCTTGCTTCTGAAACTGCCCTTGGGTTTGATTGCAGACCCCTCCCCTGTGCCCTCAGGACTTCGTGTAAGACCCTGGGCACACATAGTAATTGCCCTTCTCCAAATGACGGAATCACATATGTAAACATCTAGACTCCGTTGTGGGTAGAGTCCATCTGGGTGGGACCTGAGGTACTGCCCTTCCCCCTAGCTGTGAGAATGGAAGCCTGGAGTCAAAAGAGATTCTTGCTGACTGGCCCTGACTCCAGAGGGGTAGAATGAGACCAACCTCCAGGAGATGGGTCCTGGCTTCTGACAACCCTGACTTGTTTCTTTTTGTATTTCTTCCTCAGATATTCTCCCAGGAGTACATCAACCTCTTGCTGTCCATGTATTTCTTCGTGCTGGGGATCCTGGCCCTGTCCCACACCATCAGGTCAGAAGGCATCTCCCGACAACATTTGAAGCCACTTTCTCAGGAACCAGTGCAGGGTCTTGGATAGGAACATGATCTTTTGTGTCAGTCCAAGCCAGGTTTAAATCCAAGGGATTCTTCCCCTGTGTCATATTGTACATGACCTGGGATGGGAACTGGGATCTTTCTGGGCCACAGTGTCCTTACAGGGACTTACAGGGCTAGCCAGTTCTGGGGGCTCTCGGCACTCAGGAGGCTGAGGCAAGCTCCAGGCATCTTGGAGAGGGAGAGCCCAGTCAGAGTGTCAAAGGGTCATCACGGTGCTGAGATGGATCACCCTAGCGCCACTTGCCAAGCACTAGGCTCAGCTCTTCATGGGACACACTCCTAACAGTAGAGGGTGGGATGCAGACTCTGAATTTGACTGCCTGGCCTTAAGTCCAGCCTCTACACTACAAGTTAACCTCTGGCTTCAGTGTCCTCAAGGGTGTATTAAAAAAAAAAAAAGGAATGCCCTTCATGTAGAAAATGGGTCGTAGTCAGTAGGTACAACTGTCACCTTCGTTAGGACGGCTATGATCGCCTGTGTCAACTTGCTAGACACCTTGGCTAGCCAGCTCTTGCTGTTGACCCCAGGTTACAGTCAGAGAAGCTGAAGTTAGAGTAAGACGTTCGATAGGATCACACAGCAAACAGCCAAACCGGGATCAAAGCCCAGGTCTGGACACAGGCCATTCTGCTCAGAGCCGGTCACTCGCATCAGGACATCAGGCATAAAGGATTTAGGACAGTGTCATAGGAACAAGGGGCTAGTGGCCACCTTCACTCTGCAGGGCTAGCCTGCACACTTATCTCTTGGCATCATTTCACATTCACCATCTTACCCTCTAGTATGGACAGCAAAACTAGCCCAGCACGCTTCTGCCTGCCTCTTTGCAGTAGTCTACAGATAGACTGAGGAATGGCCAGGAAGAATTGCCCAGAGAAAGGAACTCAGCTTGCACTCAGGTTTGGAAGATAGGTATCCTGGGAGAGGTGTAAGGAGAGAGGTGCCTTCCAGAGCATTCAGAGGTAGACAGTAGAATCTGCCCCAGAGGTCGTGAATGCCAAGGACAGTGAGGCTTATTCCTCTCCACACACTGGCGGGAAGGTGGCAGTCAGAGTGTGGTCTCAGAAGGCAGCCTCAACCCCTCGAAGTATCAGCTTTCCCTATAGACAGTACAGAACCTCTAACAGGGACAGGAAGCATCAGATGGGCTGCCGTCTCCAGGCACACAGTGGGCTTAGGGCTGGCCCGGTGTTACAGACCTGGGACTTTGGCTATAGGCTTTATACGAAACCCAGCACTGTCTTTACCTGCAAAATCTTATTCTAGCTGAGTTGAAAATACCATGGCCCAGCTCAGAGAACCTGAATAACTTGGACCTAGTAAGAATAATAGCAGGTCCAGCACTCATGAGGACCTAAGGCAAGGACAGGAGCCATCATTTTTAAATTCTGGGTCTCCTTTTCCATGCTGATGACTCCTCCAAGTCTAGTCAGTTCCACCCCAGTGTCTCCAAGAGGTTTGAGATCCCCAGTTCTTCCACAGCCTAGCTTCACCACACAGAACATCTACTTTGAAAGCAATATTTAGGCCATATGCTTGGGCGCTGATTATTTCACAGCGTCCCAGCAGCCCGGCATCTAACTACCCACAAACTGTTGTGGTCCCAATGTCTCAGATTAACCAGTTGTCTCTCTAACCTCTAACCAAGTCGTACATTTTAGTGATAGATTTTATCAACAGAAAAAAAAAAAAAAAAAACACGCAATTGCCTGGGCGTATAGCTTAGTGGTAGAGCACTTGCCTAGTAAGGGTAAGGCCCAGGGTTTGAACCTGGCACCAAAATAAGCAAAAGTCAGCCGTTAACCTCATGGGAAGCCAGGTGGTACCCCACGCCTTTAATCCCAGCACTCAGGAAGCAGAGGCAGGCAAATCCCCGAGTTCGAGGTCAGTCTGATCTACATAGTTACACATTAGCCAGGGCTACACTGAGAGACTGTCTCCAAAAAAAAAAGGACACACAGGCTAGTTTGGTGGCTCACGCCTCTAATCCCAGCACTTGGGAGGTAGAGGCAGGAGGACAGGAGTTCAAGGTCATCCTTAGCTATACAGCTACTTCAAGACCAGTTTGAGTTATATGAAATAGTGTCTCAAAATAACAAATAAATGGTGCATGGTAAAATTTGTCAGCTAGAGACTGGTTTTTGTTTTTTTCATGTTGGGTGTTGGACTTGGAGCCTTGTACTTCCCTAGGCAGTCTCTTCTACCCAGCCATAGCCCACCCCTAGTTTTGCTTTTTTCTCTTTCTTCTGGTGTTAGGAATTGAACCCAGGGACTCCCATATGCTAGTCAAGTGGTCTAGCACTAAGCCACATTCCCCACAATCATTTTCACATAAAATTCAGAGCAACAGTAATCTGCTCTGGCACCCATGTAAAGGTCCCAGGAACCTGGCAGGATGAGGCAGTTGGGTCATGAGTTCAAGACCAGCCTGGGCTACAAAAACTGCCAATGAATGAAGCTATAAAGTTGTCATGAGAAAGAGCAAAACACAACAAAAGCAATTTTATTACAAGGAGGGGATTAATTTAGTCACGGGGTTTTTTAGTGTTGATCCAAATATTAAACTGACACTCACTGGAGTTGTATTTTCTCAAGTCTTTCGGTTAAGAATGCTACAGTGTTAAGAGTTTCCACAGGCTGTTTATATCCACGAGGCAGACCTTCCTCTGGATCTGTACAATAAGGCCTGAAGGTATGAGATAAGGAAGTCCACCAGGATTCATGGCTGATAAAAGCAGAGGGTTTGATCCCAGGTCTGTCTGACTCCAGGGCTAGAATTCTTGATTGCTTTGGCAGAAGTTGAGGGGAAGGGAGAACGTGGAGAGAACAGTCTCCTCTTCACAGATCTCTAAAATGCCTGCTAAAGGCTGTACTAGCCATATCCCAGGCCATGCTGGCCTTGGCTGCAGTTCTCTGAACCCTCCACCTCTGCTGCTATCCACTGCCTACCTCAAACTGCTCAGAACAGACCACAGCTCGTAGTACTGCGGGCAGGCAGGGGTCACAGCCCGCCTTCACCTAATACAGTCACCAAGACTCCAACCCAGCCAGATTCCACATTCTGCCCAGGCAGCCTTAGCCTGTTTTATCCCCTGTGGCTGAGCTCCTGCCCACAGTAAAAGTGCATTCCGAGTTGGCTGGCAAACATCCACCACTGTGTCCATCATGCATGGAAAATGATGGGACAACAGGGCCCCGCCCTCGAGTTCAGACTGACCAGTTGCATCACAGAGGTCATCCTTTGTGTGTGTTAGGCAGCAGGCCCTTTTTCTCAGTGCTTGCCTGTGATCCCAGCTGTTTAGAGGGTCAAAAATTGGAGGCCAACCTGGGTAACTTAGTGAGACTATCTTAAAATAAGGGCTGGATCTGTAGCTCAGTGGTGTGGATCAGATGCAGAAATCAGTCCAGATATTTAACACTTGAAGTGGAAGCTGCAGTTGAACTTGTCAGACACCAAGCATTAGCTTAATCCTCTTAATCCTGTGAGAGCCTCAGACTTGGTGTGTTATCCCTATAATTCCAGCACTCGGGAGGCAGAAACAGGAGGATGATTGCAAGTTTAAGGCCAACTTGAGCTGTAGAGTGAGACCCTATCTTTGAACAAACAGTGATTCTCTGAGAAAGGTATTGTAATGTCCAGATACAGAAAGAGTTGCAAGGAGCAGCTAAGTAACTTCCCCAAGATCACACCTCTAAGAAGTGGCAGACATAAGACTTGAACCTAGGAAGCGTATCTCAAGTCTGTTATGCTGATTAAGATGCAGAACGTCCAGCTGCTAAGAGGCTAGGCTGGGTGAATGCTTCAGCTTGAGCTGCTCTCTGCCTCTCTCTGTACTTGGCACTATGGCCTCACCCTCCCAAAAGAGATTCAGCAAACTGAGCTTCCAGCCTCGGCCATCTTGGCTGCTTCTGCCTTCCATCTCTTCAGAGCTCTTCCATGAATGCCCAATCCAGATTCCAGCCATGCCATTCACCATCAGTTACATCACACAGCCTGAGGATACAAGGGATCAGTTGTTTGACAAGTGGGGAAACTGAGGCCCAGAGATAGTTCTTAAATTCATATTCTCCAAGCCACCAGAATTTCAAAACAGACATCTCGCATCACTGCCTTATCCATTGTGACCTAAATGTTTCCAGGCCTACCTTGCTTTACTTCTTGGTAGTTAGGAAACCATTCTGGGATATCTTCTATGACCTTTGTTCACAGTTCTTAAACATCTTTAATACAGGCCAGCACTGAGCTGAGCATCTTTCCTGCCTTATTTTATCTTCACACACCTCTTTGAGATAGGCCATATGCTTATCCTCACACACAGGTAAGGAGACCAAAGCCCAAGGAGGCTGCCAGAAATGTGGCCCCCACAAGACTGTGGGGACTAGTAACCACTCTATAGTACTTTCACACTCATAACCAAGAGACCTTGGTTTGCTAATCTTGCTCTAACATAGTCTGGGAAAGAACATGTCTGTGTACCTTGCCTGGCCAGGAGCATGCTGGATAACAATGTTTTTAAAGCTATGCTGGTCCTAAGCAACAGAGACCTCATAGTGGGCTTGAAAAAGAGGATGTTCCTGCCCTGGAGGCTGTGGTTCATCTGGCTGGTAGATTTCAACAACTTTTGTAAAAGCCCAGTTCTGTAGCATGGGACTTGGTAAGAGTTTGGGAGTACATTTCCTGACAAGAAGCTGATGGGCCAGACTTGGAAATCTTGACTCTTCCCCCAAAATTTTCATACCAAGTCTGCCTGTGTCCACTTTGCCAATAAGGGAAACAAATCACTTAAGAGTTCAGAAACTGCAGTTTGAACCTCAGCGCAGATCCTGGCTCCCTGTGTGACCCTGGTCAAGTCATCCTCTAGTAGACTCCAAATCTGTAGAGTGGCAAAAATAACATGTACCTCCCAGGGCACTTAGAAAAGGTGCCTGGGGGTAACAGCCATAGTGGAAGTTAGTGGGGACTGTTAAGAGCTATGATTGCCTGTGGGGGCTCTGTTTGCCGACCTCCTTTGTCTTTCTTTCCAGCCCCTTCATGAATAAGTTTTTTCCAGCCAACTTCCCAAACCGCCAGTATCAGCTGCTCTTCACACAGGGCTCTGGGGAAAACAAGGAAGGTCAGTGGTACCCACTTCCCTCTCCCCCCTTTGTTTCTGTAATACTGGGTTCTCCAAAGAAACACGTAACGAAAAGGAGAAACTCTGATCTTACGGCCCTGGTTCATGTCCCAGCTTTGCCACCTACTCAGACTTGGGCATCTGGGTGAATCCATTATTTCTGAGCACTAGGTGTTTTTACTGGAAGTTTGTTTCCCCTATCTGTAAAATAAAAATGAGAATCTAGTCCCTTCATTAGGAAGTAAATAAGTGGAAAGCATTCAGCACAGTGCCTGGCTCATCTGTACACTCCGTAAAAGCTATGCCAGACAGCTAGCTCTTAGCAAGTCTGCTCAGTGATTGTTTCGCCTAAGCTTTGGAAAATAAAACAATGAAGATGTGTTCGTTGTCATATGGATTCAAACATGGTGACAAGAGAAATGATGGTTTGAACCAAATGGAAGATAATTCTCACACTTGAGAAGCCTGTGGAATGTATTCCATTCTTTGCTGGTTGCCAAGCACATTCTGCCTTTTCCCCCCAAACGGTGATGCGATGGTTCGTCTCTGCATCAAGTACATCTGTGCCAAATAAACGATTACCGGATTGATTTTTTTAAAGGCTAAGCCTGTTTTTTTTTAACGACCATAGAACCTTCAGGGTTCCAAATCCCCATCTATGCCAAGCTCCATAATACTCTGGGGCCCCTCGGGGTCTGGGAGTGCGACCACTGCGCAGCCGCAGAAGACAGGAGCATCCACTGCGCAGCCGTAGGGAAGACGGGAGCATCCACTGCGCAGCCGTAGGGAAGACGGGAGCATCCACTGCGCAGCCGCAGAAGACAGGAGCATCCACTGCGCAGCCGTTGGGAAGACGGGAGCATCCACTGCGCAGCCGTAGGGAAGACGGGCGCACCCACTGCGCAGCCGTAGGGAAGACAGGCACATCCACTGCGCAGCCGTAGGGAAAGACGGGAGCATCCACTGCGCAGCCGTAGGAAAGACGGGAGCATCCACTGCGCAGCCGTAGGGAAGACGGGAGCATCCACTGCGCAGCCGTAGGGAA